GTGTGTGTGTGTGTGTGTGTAGTGTGTGTGTGTGTGTGTGTGTGTGTGTGTGTGTGTCGTGTGTGTGTGTGTGTGTGTGTGTGTGTGTGTGTGTGTGTGTGTGTGTGTGTGTGTGTGCGTATGTATATATGTGTGTGTGTGTGAGTGAATACGCATCAGTTCTTGAATTTGTGTGCCTGCGCGCTTACCCGCTCGCGAAGGACGAGCTGGATCGAGTCCATGGCCTGCTTCACCTGCAGCGTAACAATTATCAGTGCAACCCGAGTAAGCGGGCGTGCACAAAGAGCGTGTAAGGCATGTCATGGCATATTTTGGGCATGTCATGGCATTGCGTGGTATTGCGTGTGCTAACCTTCTTGAGGCGGAGGGGTCCCGGCATCTCTTCGCCAATCCGCCTTGCTTCCAACTTGACGGTGAGCAGCTTGTTGCGCTCAATCAACAAAATGTACCTGCGCGCATGTCACGCGATGAGCGAAGTGAAATAAACAGCGAGAAAGAAAAGGGTGCGGAACCAGCGTGTCTCGCGCCGTAACAAAAACACACACAGACACACATGCGCGCGCGCACACACAGACACAGACACAGACACACAGACACACACACACACACACCCTACCAGAGCTTGTGGAGGTCTTCGTTGCTCTTCACGCGTAGTTCACGAGTCTTCCACCGACGGCCTGAACACAGCATGGTCGCAAGAATGATTTCGTGGCACACAATATCAGTCACACAGCCGCAGCACTTTCATCTTCTTCACACACACACACGCATCTGCACGTGTGCACATCCAACCACACACGCACACATACACGTGTGCGCATTCAATTACACACGCACAAACAGATATGTGTGCATTTTTACTTCAAACACACTCTGTCACATACGTACCAACGTCCACTTCATCCCAGGCAGCGCCCTCTGGAAAAAACTTCTTCAGGCCCTCCGGCATGACAAACGCTTCATCTGCCGCTGCCGATGTCGCGCCACTGCTGGTTGTGTCGGATGCCCACCGCACAGTCTGCGCATGCAGCACTGGCACCGCACGCTGTCCCTGCTGCAGTTGGCGGGGCTGCACACGCAGCCGGGACGCTGTGGTTGTCGAGCACAAACGGCACGCATACGCCCTGGACATAGCACCAGCAACACCACCACCACCACGAACAGCAAGCGTCGCCATCGCTCTGCTGCCCATCGCCACTGCTGTTGCACCCACGCCACCCACCACGCGCTGCAGCAGCATCATCGTGCTCTTCTTCTTCTTCTCTTCAGCTGTCGAGGTTATGGAGTATTTGTGAAAGATTCCAAACAACTTTCGCGGCCTGAAGGACAAGACGACAACTTCGAACAACACGCAGGCGGTCATGGCTGGGAGTGTGCGGGTGTTGGTGAGCACGGCGTGGCTGGCACGTCAACTGGTGGCGAAGAACAGCACCGTCAAGGTCATCGATGCGTCGTTTAACATGCCAGCGGTACGCCATCGCACCAGTTCGTGCGCGCGTGTATGTGTGTGTGTGTGTGCATGTGTGTGTGTCTGTGCGTATTTATGTGTGTGTGTGTCTGTGCGTATTTATGTGTGTGTGTGTGTGTGCATGTGTGTGTGCGCCAATGAGTGAATGTGCACGCCAATGAGAGAGTACGCATGCCAATGAGCCAGTGTGAGGAGCGGCAGTAGCATGGATAACACGATTAGCTGACGTGGCGTGTGCTTGTTTTCTCCCATTGTTTCAGTGGAACAGGGACGCGCTGCAAGAGTATGAGGCAAGCCACATCCCAACAGCAACTTTCTTTGACGTTGACAAGATCAAGGACGAGACGAGTGACCTGCCACACATGCTCCCTCCCGCAAACGTCTTCCAAGAAGGTATGCCACTGCCGAACTAACACACGCGCAGAGTCGTGTACCATGTCGCAAATGTCCCATCACCGTCTTGCTTTTGTGACATTGTTGGGTGGATCTGTGTGCGTGCGTGTGTATTTGAGACACAGCCAAGGTGTCCTGCTCTGCAACTAGTCCCTTTTGAATGAACTCACGTGTGCCACTCCGCCACAATGTGTCCTGGGCACAGCAATGCGTGATCGCGGCATCTACAACAACGACCACGTTGTTATCTATGATTGCAGTGACTTTGGCATCTTCAGTGCTCCGCGCCTGTGGTGGATGTTCCGCATGTTTGGCCATGACCGCGTGTCTGTGCTCAATGGCGGCTTCACGGCCTGGACGAAAGAGGAGCGGCCCGTCGAATCTGCACCACTGAAGGTAAGGAAATGAAAAGAGGTGTGTGTGTGTGGGGGGGGGGTTGGAAACGGGAAGGGGGATGGTGGGGCCAAGCGGATTAGTGTCCGTTGGAGCATAGACACACGCCCTCACCTGTCGGGTATTGCTGATCGGTATCCGATTGAATGGCACTGCGCAGTTGCCTGTGGAGCCGAGAAGTGACTATGTCGTTCAAGATGAGAAGACGGAGCTTGTGCGCACGCGGCAGGATGTTCTTGACAACCTCGCACACAAGAAAGAACACGTTCTCGATGCACGCTCGCGCGAAAGGTGCACGCGTGGGGTTATGAGATTGCGTGTGTGTGTGTGTGTGTGTGTGTGTGTGTGTGTGTGTGTGTGTGTGTGGGTGGGTGTGTTTGGGTGGGTGGATGGGTGTGGACATGTGTTTACGCACTTGTGCTTGGAGTTGGAGCACACCCTACACTAACACGCGAACATACATATTCACATGCACTTACATATGCCCACTCTCATGCACTGTGCTGTTTGTGTGTGTGTGTGCGTGTTTGTGTGTGTGTGTGTGTCTGGGTGTGTGTGTGTGTGTGTGTGTGTGTGTGTGGGTCTGTGTGGGTGGATGGGTTTGGACATGTATTTACGCACTTGTGCTTGGAGTTGGAACACACCCATACACTCACACACGAACATACATACACATACGCACTTACATATGCCCACTCTCATGCACTGTGCTGCCGTGTGTGCCAGGTTTAACGGCACAGCACCGGAGCCGCGCCCGGGTCTCTCGTCTGGCCATGTCCCCGGCAGCACGTGCCTTCCATTCACCGACTTTCTCGCAGACAAGGTAGTGCGCTTGTGTGTGTGTGTGTGTGTGTGTGTGCTTGTGTGTGTGTGTGTGTCTTGTGTGTGTGTGT